AAGACCGCATCCTTTGCCCTCTTGGAACAGTCCCGGTCATCATGGGGGCCATGTGGGCAGCCAGAACAAGCCTACTGAAGGAGCTATTTTCATTTTTAGCTTGCACTGGCTCAGGAGAAAAGTTTTCATAGCGTAAAGACCTGTTATACCCCAGGCAACCCTTCAACTAGTGCTGGAAAACTTTAGTAGGATACTCTCATTTAACATCAGGCATTCATGTTTTATCTTTTATAAATAACCCTTGCTTAAAAGAAACGTTTCCCTAAGTAGGTTATCTCTTATCTAAAGAGCCTTTAGATCGAACACCGAACAATGGCAGACGCCTAAAAGCACGGTCACTGACTAGTCTTCCACGAGGTCGGGAGTGACAGGGCAGTAAGTGGCAAACTACTATGGTTGAATCTCGTTCCGAAAAGATGAGCCATAAAAAGACCTGATGACTTGGAATCAAAACATATAGAGCTCCTCTCCACATTTAGACTCCTTGAAAGTTCACACATTTTTTTTTTTTAATGGTGTAGCTAGTTCACTGGTGAAAGGGGCCGGCTGCCAAGACAGTGCTTCATAAAAGTCAAGTCCTAATCAAAATGCCAAATTTTCTCAGCGTGCCGCTCCTCTCTAAGGAGAACACATAACTGCCAGATGACATGAGAGGCAGTGGGGATTGAGCTCAAGTTGGCTCAATGATCTTCCAGAAAGGAAAATGCTTGAAAACAAGCAGAGGTCTGTGTAGAATGTGCTGGAACAGGACTGCGACGTGTCCTCCTATGGACAGCGAGAGAAACAGGGAGCCAAGTGGGGTATGTGGCAGGATTACGGGGTCACACACACCCACACATGCATCCTGAGAATATACTTTCATCGTGCACTTCCTGAAAGTAGAATCTGCAATGCCTTTGCCACAATTATGCTCCACTGGGTACAGTGTTGGGCACTGCGGGGAACAGAGAAGAGTCAGACACATTGCAGTCCCACTGTGGGACGGTACTGGAGAGGAAAGAACCAGAGGAGGATAGGTGTTCTGGATGTTCACCCCAAAGTGATGCCCCAGAGGGACATTGCAAGAATTAGGAAGGGTGTGAGATGCTGGGCGGGGGGAGAGGGTGTGAGATGCTGGCGGCGGGGCGGGGGGGAGGGGCTCTCCCTTTCCGTCTCATCATCAGTGGTCAAAGGAAAAACTCAGAAGACTACTGAGACAGAGATATGACCCGGAGAGCACGGATCCAAGAAGCTGGGGCGGGATGAAGCGGAATCACACGCAACCTGGAAGCTCAGAGGGCGCTCGCCAAAGAGGCTGCTGTCAGTAAGCCCGGACTGCGTGCTGGCCGGCGCGTCCTTCCAGTCACCCTGGGGAAAGAATTATTTTCCCATCACCCCCGTTTGTAACTCAGGAAGAAAGTAACTAAGGAACACAGTGACTGACTAACCCTTCCCAGGTTCCAAAGGAGACGAATTTGAATGTGAACTTGAGCCTGTCACTAATATGCTGTGTTTGTTACTGTTCTGAGCTGAGTTTTGGGATACAGACTGGTTAGTAAAAAAGAAAGCAACTTTAAACATGCATAAGGCAGGGGTTTTTTTTGGATTTGAGAGAAATCATAAGTATATCGGGAATGTCCTGCTGATACCTCTTCAGCCCTACCACAAAACCTATGCAGACCAATGCTGATGGCTCAGAAATCCTTCCCCAAAGGCAGTTAATGTTGTTCTCACTCTATCCACCTTGACCTTCTGATATTTATAAATGTAAGAGATTTGTAGTCTCTCCCACCTTTGAACCTAATATTTCTAATATATTACTAAAAATTGTCCATGATAAAAAGATTTTTTAAAGATTGTACTTACTTATTTGAGAGAGCACAAGCGGAGGCAGAGGGAGAGGGAGAAGCAGACTCCCCGCTGAGCAGGGAGCCCTATGCGGGGCTGGATCCCAGGACCCTGAGATCATGACCTGAGCAGAAGGCAGCCGCTTAACCGACTGAGCCACCCAGGCACCCCTTTCATAAAAAGTTTTAAAGTAAGTCACTTCTCTTTGTGACTCTGGAACTGATACTTAATAGACCTCCCTTCAAACAAGAGCTTTTGTCCCTGAAGACGAATTCTTGTGTATGACATCCGACAAAGCATCGACATGATGCATATTCTCCAAATCTGCCAGATGACAGACCTTAATGTCCCATCTGCCTAGACATACATTCCATGCAAAGTTCTATTTTCTATGGCAGTGTCTTGAAAACTCCCCGAGTTCGCTTTACAGACTTACTTCTTCCAGGAAAGACACCTTGTGGGTATTCTGGTGGCTCTGATCCCCTCTACAAGCCTCCTTTTCCATTTCCCCTAAACCTTCGTGATGGTCAATATGATGCACCCCCCCCCAGATCAGGTCCTTCACCAGCTGGTGAAGGACCTGTTCCCCCATCTGTTGGCAGTGCTGCTGGAAGGTGGACCGAAGCTGCTAGTCCTCTTTGGGGATTGTCTTGAGCTAAAAGAAATCCTCTTGTCAAGGTCACACATCCTTCCAGGGGTGTCCTGCATCCAGTGGCTGATCACCGAGTGGGTACTAAGGCTCCACGCTCAACCCAATGTGGGACAACTGAAGGACCGTCCCAGCTCCCAGCTTCCTGGGGAAGAGCTTTTCCCCGCCCCCTGCTGCTTCCTCTTCCTTCCAGGTGCTGATCCCAGGAGTACCCCTAAGAAGCCCCTTGCACTCTGTCCTCCTAACCTGCATCTCAGAATCTGCCACCTGGGGAGCACATCTGCGATAGCCCCTTGTGTCATGCTAGGTCACAGTCACTAGAATGTAAGCGCCTCTGCAGTGTCCCTGACTCCCAGAACAAGGGATTCGAGCAAATGTATAAATCACACACACCAAAGAGACAGAAGGTGGTGGGGAACACAGTGGATGCCACTCCTCACTGCACAAGTTTGCAGAGATCCGTCAAGTCCTATTTGTCTCTGGAGCATGGGAGTTTGAGCCACACTTGAGATTGGTGGAAGTAGGCATTAACAGGCTGGAATGAAGAATGGACCCTATGTGACTAGAACGGAGATTCAAAAACAGCAAATTTCCTTCCCCCAAATCAAAGCCACTTGGCATGCTTGGGATTGTGGTCTCTCCCAGTGGAAGACAGAGAGAAAGGGTTATTTATTTATTTTTTTAAAGATTTTATTTATTTATTTGATAGAGAGCGAGAGCAGGAACACAAGCAGGGGGAGTGGGAGAGGGAGAAGCAGGCTTCCTGCGGAGCAGGGAGCCCGATGCGGGGCTCGATCCCAGGACCCCGGGATCTGAGCCAAAGGCACACGCGTAACAACTGAGCCACCCAGGCGCCCTGAGAAGGGGTTATTTTATCCTCCATCAATAGGGGCCATGCTGCGAAGCAGGGTAAGAGACTTGCCTCCAGTTCAACAAGAAAATAATTCAAATACCCTGACTGCTAACACGCTACACCCATTTCCTTAGATAGCGCGGGCGCCTGAGAACACTCTCCCTTGTACTCCATCACCACTGGCACAGGTGGTCTCGTCGACTATAGGACCTAAGTCACCACCCCAAGTTTTAGAAACACCGTCTACATCGAGTGGGCCGCTTCCTAACTCATACTTTGGAGCACATACTCCACTAATTGCTGGCAAGTTCATCTGTCTTTTCTACATGTTCTATTAATATGTCCTTTGTATATACTTAAATTTAAAAAGCAGGCCCAAATTCCCCATTATTAAGGATTTTTAGGTTCCCAGATATTCAGGGAGTAATTTGTAATATATGTTTCTCTTGGCAAATCAAGTCAGATAGTATTTATTTCATATTACCAAGATGATTTAAGAAAAGATGCAAAGCAGGAGTCTACAAAGTTCCATCATTACTATTAACTGCCCTCTATGCCATAGATACTTGTCTTATATTCAGCACAATTGGGGTTAATTTTAGGACTCAGTGTGTCTGAAGGAAATTCTGCCCCCATTCCAAGGGACTGAGATGAACAATGGAGACTGTTCTCAGTGGGTCCAATGCTATCTCCCCCCTGTCCTTCCCTCTGCGAATATAAAGGGTCTCTCTCCTGAAAGATGAGTATCTTGAGGGGCAAGGGGTGCAGAAGGATCACCTTTAAAACTAAAGACCCTTTTTGTAAATGTTGCCAAAGCTTTTTGATGCTGTATAAGGGCCTGGATCCTGAGAGAAAGGGATACAAAAGCACTTATATTTGCAAAGGAGGTAAAAATCTGTTTCAAAGTGAATTTGTTTTTGCCCTGTGAGGTGCTTCTCTCCTTTCAACGCCCCCCCCGGCTTTTTAAAAATATTTTTATGTATTTATTTGAGAGAGAGACAGAGATAGCAAGAGAGAAATCGGGGAGGAGAGGGAGAAGCAGGCTCCTCGCTGAGCAGGGAGCCCGACCCTGGAGCTCAATCCCAGGACCCTGAGATCATGACCTGAGCTGAAGGCAGACGCTTAACCGACTGAGCCACCCAGGCACCCCTCAACCCCTTTTATAAAAAAAATTATTTATTTATTTAGAAAGAGAGAGAGCATGAGCAGGGGGGAGGGGCAGACGGAAAGAGAAAGAGAATCTGGGGCAGACTCTGCACTGAGCACGGAGCCTGATGCAGGGTTCAATCTCACGTGACCCTGAGATCGTGACCTGAGTCGAAACCAAGAGTCTGATGCTCAAACTGACTGAGCCACCCAGGTGCCCCTCCTTTCAGCCCTTTGAGCTGAAAGGCAGCAGGCCCTTGCCAGGCGTGTTTCAGCCTTTGGGCACAGTCCTCTTGGGGTCTCAGCAGCCGGGTTACTGGCCACAGTGTGAGAGGTGCTTCACTGCTGAGCGGAACACTCTGCATCCGTGCAAATCTTAAGATGATTACAAATGAAATGCCACTTCACAAAGCAAGTATGCGGAGACGTCGAGCTCGTGAACCCAAGAGGGTAAGATATTCTTCAAAGGGGAGGCGGTTGGCACAAAACCAGGCAGCCGGAGCTTTAAAGAAAGCGGTCACTCACCAAAGTCAAACTCCTGGAGCGGGAGCTGCTGCTTCGACTGTCCAAGCTGCCCCCTCTGCTCAGGTCGCTGAGCCCGCAGCTGGGGGACACATCCGAGTCCATCTCCGACGAGTCTGACTGCTGGCGGTTCACAGGCATCCCCAGAGACACGGCGGCCACTGGCCCAGTCACAGGAGGTGGGGAAGGGGACAGGGTCCCATTCTCAAGGAGCAACTGCCTCTGGAGAAACCAAGCACAGGGGGACAGGGTTAATGCCTTATCCCCTGAAACGGAAGGCTCGGTGTGGGTCAGAGTCATCTCGATTTGCAGCCTTGACCATCGAGACGGAATTAGAAGCCCCTAAGTCAACGTGTTTGCTCATTTTCATTTCTCCTTTATATCCCTTTCCATCATGAAGATATGAATCATTTTTAAGGAAAAGATGAATAGACTAACAATTACTTTGTTGCTGAAAACCTGATAGGATAATGGTCTGGCTCACTCCTTTGCTCCGAGGACCTGTACTCTCCTGCTCTTTTCCACGTGGATTCAGGATTTCCCTGTGCTCTTTATTGATTCTAGTCTCTTCTACCTCAGACACCACAAAATTATGGCTCCTTTTCCAGCTTCACTGCAGTTCAGAGTTGAGTGAAGGGACAAGAGCTGGTAAATTTAGCGAAAGAAAGTCTGGTTGACATCTCTGAGATTCTAGGTTCTCTGGAGGCCGAGATGCTCTTGCAATTTCTACAGAAGATTCTAAGGTACCATAAGTCACTACTACAAGGAAGTTCATATTTTTGCTTTCAGGAACAAAGACTGCGAAATTTCCCCTACCAGCCCCTTGGTTTCATACTCTGACTCTTTTAGCAGGAAATTCAGCTCAGTCTCTGAACAATGGACAATGGAATTCAATAAAACCTTCTAGAAGACCAAACAAGATTAATAGGGAATAAGGGAATAAGCCTCTTGTGGAGGCTTAGGGCAAGTGGAGAGATACAAGCCCACGTCATTCATTCCTAAACTGAAAATACTGCCAGGTGGCTTTCTGAGCACCTTTAAGAATACTGAGGGGCATGTGAGCTCAGATAAGCAGGGGCACAACTGTGTGTGTGTGTATTAACTTTTAATACAAACATGACCATCTGTGGAGAAAACCCAATCAGTACGGAATACTTTTGGGTGGACTTTGTCATTTAAAACTTCTAAAATTACTGTGAGATCTTCTTAGGGAAATCCTGAAGGTGTGAGAACAGCTTAAAAAGGAAACTATTTCTCACCCGGTTTCTCTTCATTTTTCAGGTGAATCAGCCCCAGTTAACTGGCAATTTAAGAGGAAGACTAGGGAACAGAAGATTCTGAGCATATATATGCTTTTTGGAAGTTGCCATTATTCCAAATGGTTAAAAAAAAGGCTTAAGAAAATGTTAAAGGTTTTTTTTTTTAAGATTTATTTATTTGAGCGAGAGAGAGCGTGTGCACAAACAGGGAGAGAGGTAGAGGGAGAGGGAGATAAGCAGACTCCTTGCTGAGTGGGGAGCCTGACGCATGCCTCGATCCCAGGACCGTGGGACCACGACCTGAGCCAAAATCAAGAGCTGGTTGTTTAACCAACTGAGCCACTCAGGCGCCCCCCCGCAAAATGTTAAAGGTTTTAAAATTTAATAGTAAGCAAGCCTAAACAATGCAGACTGTATCTAAACCATCTACGTAGCCAATAATATGCCCCATCCCTGGGACGGTGAGTAGCTGGGGCCTGGGTGAGGTGGGCAGGAGATGCAGAGAAGACCCACGGACTCTAATTCATTCCTGAACTCAGTAAGTCACTGCTCCAGGGAAAGGAGGGTGATGAGGGGCAGTAAGTCTTCCCCCCACACAACAGGGAGGTGAAAGATGGGGAAGTGAGATGCTCATTAGCCCCACACAAGGAAGGAACCCAGCGGATGTGCCTTGTCTCTGGGAAAGTGTCTGGAATTTTGCAACAAGTCTGTGCAGTAAGAACAGCACTCTGAGGGGCGCCCGCAGTATGGCCGGAGGGCGGTAACCTCCCACATCATTCGAGAACACACCTTTTTCTTGTGTTACTACAATTTTAAAAGCTATTCTGATACCATAAAACTGTAACATTTAGACTTTTACAAATTACTGTCTTGAAAGAACACGAGGAAGCGAACCAGATTTCTCCAGAAGGCAGAGGTTGTTGGGAAGAAAGTGAAAACCCTGGTCTGATATCCTTCACAGGTTCGAGGTGCCAATCTTCTGTGATCTCTTAAGACATCAAGAATGAGGGGCTCCCTAGTCCTAGTTCCCTGGGAACTAAAAATATAGAATTCCATGGTGGTCCATGGTGGAGAGAGCAAAGTTTTCTGAAGAGGAAGGGCAAGGAAGCAGCCTTCTTCTCTGGTCTGCCCTGGAAAGGAAATAGGGCAGACAGGTTTGACAGGAGTGACTCCCCCAGTCCTATGAGTCCGGGATGGTCATTACCATCCTAAAATATTTAGTCTCCTTGTCCAGCCACAGGTTCACTCCTTGGATTTACAGTATAGTTTATAACAAGTGAGACTATGACAGCCCCATAGGTGAAGAAGCTGACTTCTACCAGAGGAGCAGAACCAGTGTCGCTGAGAAGTCCCAGCAAGTCTGACACCACAAGGTGCAGAAATTTGAGCCACTGTGCTCACTTTCTTTTTTTATTCTTTAATTTTTAAAATTTTATTTATTTATTTATTTTTTGCGTGCATGGATGCGAGAGAGAGAGAGAGCAAGCAGGGGGAGGAGCAGAGGGAGAGAGAGAGAGAATCTCAAGTAGGTTCCATGATCAGAGCAGAACCCAATGTGGGGCTCAATGTCAGGACCCTGAGATCATGATCTAAGCTGAAATCAAGAGTCAGACGCTTAACTGACTGAGCCACCCAGGTGCCCCAACAGTGCTCACTTTCTGTTTATTTTCTTGTACTTCCTGTGTTTATTTCTCATTATTTACTAGTAACATCCTTGTTTGGAAAGGTCTAGTTTATCAGTTGAGCAGAGAGAACGCGGACAAGGCCACAGCTGACCTACAATCTTAGTAAATCTACATCTGCCAAGCATGGCCGGTAGGAAGGACAGCAGCTATCCGGCGGCAGGGCCCGGTGGGTCTGGTGAGGCTGTGAGAGTCAGGCAAGTGAACCCTCTCAGGTGAGTGCACTGCAGCCAGACGAGGAAGGCAGCTCCTTTCCTTCATCTTCCCCTACATTCCAGAAAGATCTAGAATGACCTAGATGCATCAAGCACGAACCCTCCTTCACCATCACCCCACTCCGTCTCAGTTCGTACCAATCAATACATGCTTCAATTTGGGGCTGATCTTGCCTTCTAGCCCCAGCATATTCTCCAGATATTTGCTGTTTTCCTACCTCACACTGAGCAGACTCCAGGTACCAGGCAATAACCCATGAGTAAGAATCACTTATTCCACAGAGGAACTCGATGTAGGCACTGGTTCTTAATTCAGTAAGGTATCAGGCCTACTGAATGAGTGTACGGGGGTAAAGCCTGAGCGTGTATATTTTTTAAAAGGAACACAAATAATTCTGCCACACGGCACCAACTCCAGCGGAACACGGAAGTGTAGGCTATGCTCAGCACCATTTCGGGGAACATGGGGGCACTGAGCAAGGGGTGCCAATACCCCTTGCGGGGTTCAGAGACTTCACAGAATGGTGACAACTGGGCCAAGCCCTAAGAGATGTTTAAGATACAGGAGACTGTCGGTTTTAAACACACGGTGATGGGCATTCCAGAGAGAATAAAGTAATGGTGATAACTGAGCACCACACACTGTTTAAAAAAAAAAATGGGTCAGGGGCGCCCAGGTGGCTCAGTCGGTTAAGCATCTGCCTTCGGCTCAGGTCATGATCTCAGAGTCCTGGGTTCGAGCCCCACATCTGTTGGGCTCCCTGCTCAGCAGGGAATCTGCTTCTCTCTCTCTCTCAGATAAATAAATAAAATCTTTGGGGAAAAAAAAATGGGGCAGCTGAGTGGTTTCCAGGACACATTTTGTGTGTGGAAAGAACAAAGGAAAGAACAGTCTTGCATATACTTCCACTTGAATAGGGAAATCAATGAGAAAATATATATGTTTATGCTCTTGTGTGCAGAGACTGTCTCTGGAAGGATAGATAGTATCTATCTGGCTGTCTGCAGGGAGGGAGAAAGGGATGGCCAGGAGGCAAGGGTGGAGATGACACTTTCCCCAAATGATCTTTTCTGTCTTTCAAATGCTGCACATACTCACCGTCCAATAAATAATCTATTTCAGGGGCAATCAAAGCAGTTATCAAGTTATTTTACCAGTTCACATAAGAAATAATAAAGACTTGGAAACTACTGTGGCCTAAGGTTGGAAGAGAAAAACGTGAGAGATAGAAAGGACTATGAAATTTTCATGACTAAAAGGCAGGGCAGGAGGGCGCCTGGGTGGCTCAGTTGGTTAAGGGACTGCCTTCGGCTCAGGTCATGATCCTGGAGTCCCGGGATCGAGTCCCGCGTTGGGCTTCCTGCCCTCTTCCCTCTCGTGCTCTCTATCTCTCATTCTCTCTCTCTCTCAAATAAATAAATAAAATCTTTAAAAATAAATAAATAAATAAATAAAAGGCAGGGCAGGAGTGTATTTCAAGAACAGAAGAGAGGGGGACCCTGGCTGCCAAAAGGTGCAACAGAGTAAGGACTAAAAACTGCCCACTGAACTCACTGACCTTATAAAGAGTGAACAGGAGAGAGATGATCCAAAGCCCCCCACAGTGGGCCAAGGCATGGACAGGAGAAGTGGGGTGTGCATCGAGTCGTTGGGGGTGTGCTCTCCGGGGGGGGATGGGTGAACTAGGTGATGGGGATGAAGGAGGGCACTTGTCGTGATGAGTACCAGATGATATATGGAAGTGTTGAATCACTGAATTGTACACCTGAAACTCATATAACATTGTATGTTAACTATCTGGAATTAAAATAAAAACTTAAGGGGCCCTGGGTGGCTCAGTTAGTTAAGTGGCTGACTCTTGATCTCAGCTCAGGTCTTGATCTCAGGGTCCTGAGTTCAAGCCCCGTGTTGGGCTCCACACTGGGCATGGAGCCTACTTTAAAAAAAAATGAAATAAAATAAAAACTTAAAAAAAAAAAAACTT